TCAATATGTATGAGGAATGACACGCAACTCCCAGCTTAGCATTTGGATTGTCCAGAGAATATTTTTTAAATTCCTCAATAATGTCATTGGCATTATCATGAAAAAGTTTTAATTCTGATTCCATTCCAATCATTACAGACATCAATATAATCAAAATAAATCTATTGTTCTGAAAGCGTGCTCAACGTCTTCCTCTTCTTTAGAGGAGTCCAAAAATATATAATATTGCCAGTAAATTATTATTATAAAACGAGAAAAACGTCACTTCCGTTGAAAGTTCCAGAAGCTTCGAAAACAAAGAGGTTACTATGGAGATGATCAGTGAAGAATGAATGTTGAAAAGTTCAAAATAACTAGAATTATAATATTTTAAAAACTATAAACGTAAGAGTGTGAAATTTGCATGATAATTGACATTCCATATCTTCTAAGAGATGATCAAACATTTTTTTAAGAAATAACCAGCCGGATGCCCGTGACAACACGATGAAAATATACCGGAAGTATGCAATATCTCCTTAAATATTGGGCCAAAAATCCCGAAATTTAGAAAGTGTACTCACGTAATAGTTGCGAATAAGTATCCTTGTTAATTTCCGATTAATCGGTTTCAATGTTCTGAAAATCGGATCTGATAATTCACAATTTTCAAAAACGGATAACTTCGAGAAGAATGGTCCAATCTTTTTAATCTTGATAAATTCTTAATCCTTGCGATAAACCATTTTCAAAAATATATAACACTGTGAACAAAAAATAAGAATTTCAACAAAGAACTCAATTTGAAAACAGAGCAAAAATTTCTGCATCCATTCACTCAGCTCAGTTTAGCGCCCTCCCTAACAGCGCAGCAAACCGCGGCCGCGATTTCAGATGTTATTTTTCTGCGAAAACTTCGTTTAACTTTGGAGACATCATTAATGTAAATAATTTTAATCGCCGTTGAATAAGAAATGTTTCTTTCACGACTTACGGTACCTAATTTACGTACTGTACAGACGATAGCTCGCCTAAACTCTCCGTAGCGTGGCGCTAGACGGCGGAAAATAGTTCGGCTGCTCTTCCAGGATGACGAGTTGGCGATGACGTTTTACCGCGTTTTACGCGTCCCTTTTAGCGTCTCTGTACGAATACTGATGCAATTTTTTCGCCGCGTAATAGGAATATACTTAATTGGAATTCGCGTTGTAGGGGGGGTCTACTGTATTTCAGACTTTATCCAAAATAACACATCAAATTATTTACGATAAATTCTCAAATATTATAGTAAACAATTTTTACAAATTAGTAATTTTAAGTGATATAGTCTAAATTTTAATATTATTCGAACTTGTAAAAAATTACACCATAGTAATTATAATTTAAAATTACTTAATGTTATTTTAATATTTGTAATTCATTAAAAATAATGAAATATTACATATTCTCATTTAAAATAATTTAAATATTATCTAGATACATGGGAATATGTAAATTATATGTAATCATCAATCATCAATATACTGTATATAATAAAGGTAAGTGTACATTGTGCGTGCCGCTAAAACTCAAAAATGAGTCTCGATACGATCAAGACAGTTATATAGTGTGGTAGCCCTCTATCATTCATCCATGAAAAAGGTTCTCGTTTTTACCCAAATGGAGTGCTGTTGAAGATATAAAAACTGGAAGTTTCGCTCTATAGAATTTTCTAGAACAGTTTAGAACATTCCAGAATGTTCTGGGATGTTCTGGAACGTTCGGGAACGTTCGGAAACATTTCAGAACATCAAGGATAATGATCTGGGATGTTCCGGAATGTTTTCGAACAAAACATTTCGTGGAACATTCCACGAAAAGTTACTTTCAGAGTGCTAAACTTCGAAATTGTTCTGTTTAATTCTGAAATTATCCTTAGTTACTAAGTTCATTTTTTCCAGTTTTTTTGCAATTATTTTAGATTCCAGGTGAAAAGCTCTGTTAACGTCTTTCATATTATTAACTTGTGTTTTTACATTTTGCAATTCAATGTTTAATAGAATGAATTTTTTTTAAATTAAATAGTATGTGGATCTCAGCGAATATCTTGTTATTCTGCTGTTCGAGTGTCTACTCCTCGTACGGTTTGAAAGTAATCTTGTATTTTTGGATATTTCACCACAATTAATTCACCTATATCATAATCTTATTCTTCAGGCAGAATTTCTTGACTGGACGTAATTTCAAATATATTTGTTTTTTTTTTTCTGTAGCTTTGGGAATGGCATTGCGCGGCCTTTTCTGCCCCTTCTTTTGCATATCTATATGGCCACTATATTGAGGTGATCTAGACAATTGTCCTGGATTAGATTCTATACCCAAAATAATCAATAAACTTAATACCAATAGCAAGGACAGTTTATTTTTATAATTTCACTTCAATTGAGGTTGCATTTTCCTCCAAAAACCAACCATTATCTCACGGTGTTGTGTCGACTATTCACTTAAGATTATCGCGCCAACACACACCTTCGAATGTCGAGACACCCGGAAACATAGAATATAAATAAGATCTTATATTTATTTTTCTGTATATGTTAGAAGCAACTTATTTTAATAAAAGCATACATGAATGTTTTGGCTGCAATTTTAAAAAAATTGTAAACATAAATTCCACTGTTGTCTGTATTACTCAGTATTGAGAATAGAAATAGAAAAATGAAAACTGAAAAAAAAAATCTGAAAACGATATTGAGAAGAGACTCTGACGAACTATATGGGTAATTCTAATGAAGACAGGAAGTCACGTTATTTCATTCACCCCGAAAGGTCTTAAATAGGTGACCGAAAAAGATTCTTTTGCTAAAAGGAAAAGTACAGGGGCAAGCCGCTACTAATTTAAAACGAAGAGCATACATTTTAAATTAAATAAATTAAAAATATGATTGAAAATTGCAGCCCTGCGTTTTGACGATATAACGATACATAATTACTCATTAAATTTTCATTTTTTCATGTTTTTATGTAATAATTAATAAATATAAAACAGTGAAGGGAATAATTATATATATATATATATATATTGTTTCGTTTTACTTGATTACTCTTTATTTACATTAATACATTTCAGACCTTATCCAGAATAACTCAACAAATTATTTATGATAAACTCTGAAATATTATTGTAAACGATTTCTACAAATTAATAATTTTAAGTGATATGAATTTTAATATTATCCTAAATTGTGAAAAATTACACCCACGTTCTTATAACTTTAAATTACTCAGAGTTATTATTTTAACATTTTTAATTCATTTAAAATAATTGAATATTACATATTCTCATTTAAAATAATTTACATATTACTTAGAAACATCGTAATATGTAAATTATATGTAATAATTAATAAATAAGAGATAATCAAGCATAAATGTGATATGTATTTTCTATTGCCAGATTTCTCTACGTTAAAATGTTTCAGATTTTTATTATAAATATCACAATAAATTATAATTAACAATATGTACAAATTAATAATAATTAATAATAGATATAAATTGATACAATTGTCCTAAATTCCGGAAAATTATAAACTGCTTTGTATAAATTTAAATAACTCACAGTTTTTATTTTAATATTTGTAACTCATTACAGTTAAAACAATCTCATAAAATATATAGAATTATTAAAATAATAAATAACCATATGAAAAAATGAGATTTTTAAATAACATAAAAACTAATTAAATAGGTTATAATTCTGACAAGTGTATGCATGTAAATAATAATCTTGATGTATTGTTTTTATACTGTACGTACGTATGTGTCTGTGTATGTATATATGTATTACTAAACGTGTAATCCTCCGAAGAAACTAATATAAATTTCCATTATTTTTATAGAAATACATAAGTATATATATCTGTAATCTTGTCACTGATGTAAGAAGGTTTTTGATATTTTAATTATTCTATATTAATAATTACGAATATTGTAAACTAAATATGAGTTTTCAGCCTTAAAAAATTGCTAACTAGAAAAGCATTATTAATGCATTTTAGAAAAATTTTATTGTTTGTTAATTTCAGATAAATAATGAAAAATAACAGTTAACTTGCATTACTGAACAGATTTCTATTTTTTCAGATAATTTTCCTTATCGTTCTCTTAAGACACATTCAAACCGCAAAATGAAATTGGATTGCGTAAGAAGAATTTTCTGCCGTATTTTTAAAAAATTAGGAAAAACGGTTGGACGGCATTCATATTACTTTATAATTTTACCGATAATTCTGTCAATTACACTCTCTATATTTATCAGAACATTAACTCCCAGTAAAACATTTAACGATATAATAACTCCTGATAGTGGAAAACTTTTTACAGTGAAGAAATTCATAGAAAATACATTCTCATATGACTCATCTCAATTTTCTGATCAGCTAAGAACTCCTGATATACCAAATTCTCTGATAATTTATCTGTTGGAAAAAGACAAAGGAAACATGTTTGAAAAAAATATACTTTCAGAAGTGAAATTGGTCGATGAAATCCTACAAAATATAAGATTAGAAACTGACGGAAAGACAATACAATATACAGATCTCTGCACACGTATACACAAAAAATGCTTTGAAAATCCTATTATCGAAGTGATTTCAGAAACGGGAATTGATTCCATACTACAAAAGAGAAAGAAACTAAAATACCCTGTAGATATAGATCTCTTGTCTTTCACTTATAAAGCCTATTTTATGAATTTAGGGGGTGTAACAGAAGATTATCACAACTTCGTAGAAAAAGTAAATGCCGTTTCTTTATTTTATGTAACTGATGAAAAAAATGAAGTGAAAAAGAAATTATTTATAAAATGGGCGGATCATGTTTGTGACACAATTCAAAAATATAATTTCACGTATATCAAAGCTGTTCCAAGTTTTGTTCCAAAGACAGAACAAGAGTTTCGAAAAGAATTTGATAGAACGAAACCAAAAATTGGAGGTTTGGTCGCAATTATGATTGTTCTTTCGATATTTCTCAATATGAGCAATAGCTGGATAAAAAGCAAACCTCTGCTTGGATTGGCAAGTGTGGTCAACGCTGGCTTGGCTGTATCGTCGTCTTTCGGATTAATGGCTGCATCGGGTGTTGAATTCACTTACTGGAATGCTACGATTCCATTTTTAGTTCTTGGTAAGTAAATCAATGTTGCTGCAAACGTACATTAGCGATAACGTTGAGATATTACGAATTTTGCATGTATTTCAGTTACCGAGATAGATGATGCTTTCGTATTAATAGCATGTTGGAGAACCACAGATCCCAGAGATGCGGTTGAAAAACGCATCGAAGTAACATATGGAGAAGCAGGAGTTTCCATTACTCTGACTTCACTCACTAATTTCATTTCGTACTGCATCGGAATGATGGCTCCATTTCCTTTTATTCGAATATTCAGTTATTATACTGCAACTTGTGTACTTTTGAATTTTGTATATCAAATAACGTTTTTCGGAGGATGCTTGGCAATAAGTGGATATAGAGAAGAGCGAAATCTTCGTTCCAAAAAATTTGTCAGATGTGGTAAGTTGAAATTCATTTATAAAGAAAGATAACCTTTGTTAAAATAATTATTTTAATTTTTGATATATAAGATGATGTTTGAAAGATTCTTTTAGAATACAGGAGTAATATCTGTTATCTGAATTTTTTATTACATAAGTTTAGTTTAGTTAGTTCATATTATTACATCTGAAGTGCTTATAGAATGTTACTGTTTTAATGGCCTTTTGTATTATACTACAAATATTGTAATTAATATAAAATTTATATTTAATCGTGTGTTAATTATGCTGAATATAAATGTTTGTGGTTGGGAGAATGCAGAGAATAAATAAGTGACGGCGTGGTGATGAATATCAATAAAATGTTAGTATCCAATTTGTCACATATTGATTGATATTTAATGACATTTTTTTTTCATTATATTTGAACGCATTAATAATATATTCAAACAGCGTATACAAAGAAAAACAAATAAAAATACAGATCGTGATAGTGAAATACTTTCAGAAATTGTAAAACAATAAAGTATCAAAATTATTACACTTATGGTACTTTTTCTTTGAAATAGTTAATACTTGTCTCTTTCTGAAGCGAAAACCAGCTTTCGATATACTAAAAACCTTTAAAAAATATATAAATATAGAATGTAATTACTCATAAACTATTCATAGTAGTTTGCTACGATGAAATATTTTATTATTTTTTCCTGTTCAAAATGATTACGATGTTTTTCGATGTATTCCATTGTTTTCTTGTTATAAAATGTTAAATAACGCTCTACATACGAGTATGTAACATCTTTCTCTGCCGTTCCAACAGATATGTCTACATGAATTAAATAACAAATTCTTTAATAGTACTTTTGCAATAATGCGATTCCTTTGCCTAGACAATTATACAAATAAAAATCCATAATACGAACCTATAAAAAGATTAAACTAATGCCTAAAAATTATTATGAGATAATTCTATAAACATTAATATAATTTTTTGCCGCTTTTAAATGTTCTTAGTTTTACCTATCTCTGATACCCTTACGCTTACGAATGTAAACTGTTTCCATTATAGCTGAAAGAACAAAATATAGCCTACACCTTTAGTGGCAAACGGTTCTCATGAGTGCCCAAAGTAACAAGTCTAAAAATTTCATGTAACATGGAAACATGTGATTCGAATTATCACCTATTTTTCAAAACTTATTTCGATTATTCTTCGAATTGACCTTTATAAATCACCTTTATATTATGCATTCCAGTTACATCATATTTATTTAATTACTTTGGTATTGTTATTGAAATTCTAAAACCTCGGCACGCAATTATTTTAAAAAATAAGTATGCTTACTCTACATCACACCTGCACAAAACTTTTCACTATTTTGACTTACGTTAACATAATGAAACGTGTAAATAACAACTATATGTTAATAATAGATCAATACATTAAGAAAAGTGCTTCACTGCACATACTCGCTCAGTACTCGTTTATTACAAAACTAATATAATAACATAATAACTTTAGTTTGGTTTATTTACTATTTATTGCTAAAAAAATAATTTTTTGATTTAAATTAGAAAAAAATACCAGTTTTCTGCTACATTGTACAGTGTACATAAGATCGACTTATGTCATCACCTTCAATTAATTCTATGTAGAAATATTAGTTCGAACCGTAATCTATTAGTTTACTACCTATTGAAAATTTAAAAAAACAATTTATGAAATTTTATATAATATTTCTGATTTTTTAGTATGTTTTGCTTCATATTTAAATTTCAAACTTTTTCATTTTAGAACAAAATGATGTAGATAACGAGAATAATAACGCCAAAGAAGAAGAATTTACTATGACATATTTTAGAGATTCATTAGGAAAAATAATTTCCAATCCTATAGTAAAGATAAGTATTATTATAATTTACATCATTAACTTATCATTCGGAATATGGGGCACATTTCACATAGAGCATGGTATTAAGTATGAACGTTTATTTCCAAAAGACTCTCTAATTACAGAAGTTTACGGTATTAATCTAAAGTACTTTAGACGTTATTCATATCCGTTTCACATAATTATTAATGGAACGTTGGATTACTCAAATATAAATGTACAAAAATTGATAGAAAATCTGTTGACAAAATTCGAGAATCATCCAAATATTGCCGGAGAAGAATTCACTGTGTCTTGGTTGAAATTCTACAAAGAATTTCAGAAAAGTCCTGTAGCAAAATTTTCATTACAAGGCTACAATATGTCAAACAAGCAGGATTTTATCGATGGACTTCGCGATGTGTTCTTTAATATCCGAGCAGCTCAATCACTGTCTAATGACATCGTCTTTAATAACAACAAAACTGACATCTTATTCAGTAGATTTTTTATTATGGGAAAAAATTTGAATACTTCTTACACAGAGAGAGATACATTAAGAGATTTATTGAAAATTGCTGAAAAATCTGAAATTCCTGTACTTGTGCATTGTGTTATGTCAGGTCTTATCGAGCAAGGAATCATCATTGGAGAAATAATTCAACAATTGTTTTGGATTACTGCTATACTGATAACAACAGTTTTTCTATTGTTTGTACCGAATTTATCAGTCTCAATTACTGTTGCAATATCTGTGGTATCTGCAATGGTAGAAACATTAGGTTATATGTCGTTTTGGGGAGTCAACTTGGATATTATATCAATGATAAGTCTTATTCTTTGTGTGGGATTCAGCGTAAACTATCCTGCTCATATTTCGTATGCATATGTCATGTCACAATGCAAAAGACCAAACGAAAAGCTAAAAGATTCTCTATATCGTATTGGTTTTCCGATATTTCAAGGATCTTTGACCACGGGAATAGGAATATTGATTTTATATTGTGATGTATATTTTCTTTGCACATTTGCGAAAATTGTAATACTTGTTGCTATGGAAACGGCTTTTCATGCTTTGCTTTTTATTCCTGTTATTCTTTCTATCGTTTATGCTATTTTCAATTATTGATTAATTTGTTGTGAAGTGGGAAATTTTTATCTCATACTAATTTTTAAAAATTGTAGGTAAATAGGTTAAAGGTTGTGATATTTGTGTTTAGTAGTGATAGTAGAAGTAGTACTTCTTCCAATGATACGTAGCATAGTGGGCTGCAATTGTATTTCATCTGTTTTGATCTTGGGATAGTGCTTCATCTTACTACCATGCGAAGTATAACCGAGGTCTTCTCATGGTCGCTTGTCACCAACGGAACCAATTTCATGGCTAACCGATCCTATTATTTTTCATACGAAAAATTTGGCCGGCAAGTCGTACTCTTTTTGATGCTACAATGCTATGAAGTTTACACATCTCAATTTTTTTCGAGGATTTCTTCATTGGCGATATGATCTAAATATCTATTTATTAGAATTCGTTGTAAGCATCAATGTGGAAGATATCCAGCCTTTTATTAATGTTTCATGAAGCCTTCCAGGACTCACTAGCTTAAATAGCTATCAAAATCACAAACGGAATTTCGTTCTCAAAGAGATGGAAGGTGGATCAAATCTTGTTTATCCACCAGAAGACGGTCGCTGTCCTTATTATGAGGCACTTCCCATCCACTTTCGCTTTTCCATAGTGCGAAATAACACTACCTACTCGCGACTTTCTCCAATTGTTGTGATTCGACAACTACTTTTTGCGTTTGGGCAGAGATATATACACGCATAAATTTTCGATTTCGCTGCAGTTAATGTAAGATCAATTTTGTCTGCCCCCGACTGAATGTGGCTATGGCGTGCTGTAGCTATGTCCCACTTTTCCCAATAGGGCAATATCGACAACAAAAACCAAATTTCTAATACGATCCTGGTTAGACCAGAGGATGCCAGGCCTCTATACGCGCAGTGGGCTCATCTGCCTGCGCATAACGTAATGGAGGTCGAAAAGATAGAGGAAACGAGACAGAACAGAAACCTGCCAGACTCCAATTGTAATTTTTAAGAAGTCGGTTCTGCCATTGTCAGTATTGACACAACTACTTGAATGCAGATATAATGTCTTGAAAATAGTAAAAAAGTTTGCCGGTGCACCACACAGTTGCAAGATTCACCAGAAAAACTCGCAGTGAACACTGTCAAAATCGTTCCTGAAATCAATGAATATGAACCCCAATGAGAGTAGATACTCAATGCATTGATGATATTTCGAAGGGAGAAGTTCCGCTCGCTGCACGATCTTTCCGAAGTGAAATCCAGCTAGCTTCTTACGAAATCTCTGATCGAAGGCAGTCCGTAAGCGTCGAAGGGAGACCACACAATATGCCTATACAGGCACAGAAATGAGGGTGATAAATCTTTAGTTAGTACACTCGGATACATCTCCTCTCTTAATTAAGAAATTTGATTATAGTACTCTTTCTTTAATCCTGTGGAACTTACATTTCCAACATCTGTTAAATAATAGTTTTAACTTCTCCAACATGGTCTGCCCTCAGTGCTTTAAAATGTAAGAATTAATTTCGTCCAAACCGGCTGCCCTATTACTTTTCAGGTAGGCGATTGGAGCGACATGCGCCAATCGAGACCGGCGCACGAATGGGCCCTGCAGCACATCAAAATTTATATATTTAAAAACAGTTTTAAATTAGAGAATAGATTAAACAGTTTAGCGATCATGTCGTTTGAGCGTGAAGAAGCAAGCCAGTTGGATTTTGTTACTATTTTAGAAGATATAACAGAACAAAATCTTCGAAATATATAACATTTCTTTATAGATATATATTTAATAAAATTCAGTTATAATCATTCATCAAGACATTACAAAATTTTGAATGTCAAAAATTTATGTACTTATATTCATTTAAAAACATAGAAATACTAAAACATAACTATGTATGTTTATATTGAATAGAATTAGTTGTTTTTATAATTGGTACGAGTTTTTTAATTTAGCAATTTGTTTATTTTATGTTTCATGAGTTACGATTTTTATAATTGAATTTTGGATTTTGTTTTAAATAAATATTTAATATCTAATACTAATTAATAATCTACTAATAAAATCTAATAAATAATAATTATAATGTTATATAATATTTAATTAATATTAATATCGTTATTTAAAGGGGCCCGCAAAAAAAAATTCAATCGGGCCTGGCACTTATTGCATCCGACCAGCTCTTTAGGCTCTCAATCGCGAACCTCACTTTTTCAAAGGCAATATCACTAGTGTTCTCCCCGAAGCTCTTGATATTCAGGATATACGGGATGCCATGTTTCCTAAATATCGAAATCGTTTGAGACAGTCGGTTCCGTCTGATTAAATGTGTCCTGGAAATATTCCATTTACCTTCTGTTCTTATCATCTATAGCAGAAATGAATTCCGTTCTTATTTTTTATTGCAATGCAGTGTAATGATGACTGCGTTGCAATAAAAAATAGTCAGATCATTAATTATGCGGTATAGGGTTTTGGAATCATTCCAATTGAAAACCTCTTCCGTTTCATTGCCATTTCAATCTAACAGTTTGTTCTTGCTTTTCCAACAACTTTTCTTTACACGTCTATCTAACTCGGCATATCTTTGGCTTTTTTTCTCTATCTCAGCCATTGTTTTGGCCTGGTCACTTTTAGGTGTTGCAGCTCTTCTCTCATCAATTAGTTTCCACTAACGATCTTGAATATACTGATCCTTTTGTGTCCCTCAACGTCATCCAATATTTTACGCACATTCTGTGACAATGTATCTAAAATTTCTTTCAGTTACAGAAAAGATAAATTATTGCTCCAACTAGGGAAAGTAGATTTTGTAACTCTATAGTAAATGCTTCAGCAACGATTGGATCATTTAATTTTTTCTATCGCAAATGGTCTTTTTATCATGAGCTTTTTTTGATTTCGAAGTTTGAGCTTAATATTTGTCTTAACTAGGTAATGGTCAGATCCGATATCTAAACTTCTGTAAACCTGACATCTCGCATTGATGATTTCCTCGTTTTATTAATACAGATAAAATGTATCTTATTGAAAGTGTGTCTTTCTGGTGACTGCTAAGTTTTTTTTTTATGAATCAGCCGTTGTTGGAAGTATATGTTCAAAACACACATACCGTTGTGTTTACAAAAAGATTGCTGTTTCCGTAGCACTTATAATTTTTACATTAACGCTCAACCTTTAATGATATATCAGGTAAATATTTTCTAATATTTAAACTCGGTTTTTCAATTCCTCGGTTATTTGTATGTATAGAATTTTATTGTCAATATCTCAAATTATTGATTTAAAATATAAATTTACAGCTTAATCTATCACAGAAAAATTTTGTTGTAATGTATTTTTTAAAGCATTTATCCACTGCATAGAAGTTGTGTATTAATAGTTTATTTTTGTAATGGTTTATGTTATTATTATTAATTTGTATGAAAATATGCGTTTATATATGTAACCTGTAAGTATATGAAATTAAATTTTTATATCATAAAATATAGTAGTATTATGTTTCTTCTGTTCTCATTTGGTTCATTGAATGCTGTTATATTAATATGTAAGCAAACATTTTTCGTGATTGGATAGAGTGAAACATATTTAAGAGGTTTAATTTAATTCAATTATGAAAATGTGTAAAAAATTTATTAGGTAAATATACGTGGAACCATGTTACTGTTTTAAGGTTTTGGTGAGATTAAATATATTTAGATATAGATAAATTCGACTCATTGAGCTGCAATTTGGCAAAAATTGAAGACCTGTAAATTCCCACTGTTTGTCATTCTTTAATCTGGAAAAAGCAATTAGATAGATGAATGATTTGAGATGCTATGTGCATGAAACATCGATTAACTATAGTATAAAGGAACAGTTGGTAAAAACTGGAATTCACGTTATACTAATTTAAATTTCCTTGTTTAAGATGTTTGAGAGATGACCGAAACGACTATTTTGTTAAAGGAAAAGTATAATGTAGAGGAGAAGCCATTCTGAGGTGGCCAGCATACATTTTAAATTTAGTAAATATATGATATTTTTAAAAATTGCACTTTGGCATTGGGACAATGACATAAGAAATAACTGCTTGTTTGAAATGACTTTTTTTTTGCTATTTTGAAAACACGTTAAGAAAAGTGTTTTAAATCTTATTATTTAATTTCGTTTATAAAGGATTATTTATTTATAAAATAAAAATTACGTTATTTGTTTAAATATATTTAAATATAATCCATTAATCAATAGAAAACATTTAACATACTTTTATACGACTAAATTTATTTCTTGTGAAGAAATTCAACTGTAAACATTAAATACTACCGTTTAATAAACTTATTTCAGGTATTTTAAATTACAGTTTTAAGATTGTAGTTTTTCATTAATTGGAAGGCAGTGAAATGTGAAATTTTGGACAACCTTCTAATTAATTAGAAATTGAAATAAAATACATGAATTTTATGAAATAATATGTCTGCTTTAAATAGAAGAATTTTGAATAAAAAAACGAAAAAAACTGGTAAAAGTCACTTTCTTCTCAACGGAAGTACATCATCCTTTTTGTTTTCCCTTATCTCTTAAAAATTTTAGTCATTCTGGGAACTGTCAACTTCTCAGTAAAATTACCCTTTTTCCTGTTCACGTGGAAAATTCATGAGAAACAGAAAGAATTTTGAATTATTCGAAGAGTACACAAGAATATCCCAAGGAGGACAGACCTATTCCACATCGTCTCCTGACGGTCAACACCCAAAACCGAATCACGACGTTTCTACAAAATGAGTTATTTAGTTGGTAAAAATAGAGAAGAAATGTTTATTGATGTGCAATTGATGAATTGAATAAGATACGTACATTAATCTAGAACTATATCTCAAGAAGAAGATTAAAAAACATGATCTGAGGTAGTATGATTTTTAACCGAAATTGTCAACTCTCTCTCTCGATCAATAGCTTTATTCGAATATTTCATTTTGTATAATCTTGCTTTTTATTGTTCATTAAATACTTGGTTTTATTGTGAAAGAAATGTCTCTTAAGTT